AGCGCCCGGCGGAGCCCGGCCGCGGAGCCCGGCCGCGGAGCCCGGCCGCGGAGCCCGGCCGCGGAGCCCGGCCGCGGCCCGCGAGCTGCCCCGGCAGTGCCGGACACAGCGCTGCCAGCTCTCTGGCAGCGCCCGGCCACAGGGACCCAGTGCCGCGAACTCCCCAGCACCACTGGGCCAGCGGGACCCAGCACCACGAGCTGCCCTGGCAGCACTGGACACAGCGCCGTAGGCTTCCCCGGCAGTGTCCAGCCAGARGGACCCAGTGCCCAGGCAGCGGGACCCAGCACTGCCAGCTCCCCAGCACCGCTGGGCCAGCGGGACCCCGCACTGCGAGCTGCCCTGGCAGTGCAGTCCCCAGAGCTGCGAGCTTCCCGGCAGGGTCCTTCTGCCCTTCTGCCTCCTGCTTTGCCCCACGTGAGCAGCAGCCCACGGCAGCCCAGACAGGGCCTGTGCTTCATCCCGCCAGCTAATTACTGCCAGGGCCCCCCTCACACCGCGCCGTCCCCACCACGGTGGAGAAGCCCTGGAAAGGTTCTGCAGGAGGTTCCCGTGGCACAGGTGCCAGCCCAGGGTGCTCCGCTCCCGCAGCCCCCTCAGCGTCCCCCGTGCCAGCACCGCACACCCAGCACCGGGGGCCCCCACACCCCAGAGCTCTGGTGCTGGGACGCAGGTAAGCGTAGGGCCGGCAGGGCCGGGGCACCAGGGCAGCACCGGGGAGGGGCCGGGGGGCCGGTGCAGCCCCCTGGGAACCGCCCTACTCCCCGCCGTTGCCACAGCAACGTGTTATTAATGACAGCTGCCTCTTTCGCCATGGCAACGCGCGGGCAAGGGGCTCCTCTGGGCTCACACCAGCAGCAGCCCCCGGCCGCAGAGCCCCCCGCCGCTCCCGCCCCACCTGGCTCCACGGTCCGGGGCTGGCCCTGCTCCCGGCCAGGCCGCCCGCGGCTCCCACGTCCCTTCCTGCGCGGCAGCACCCAGCTCCACCCGCTGCCTTATCAGCAGGCACCCTTTGCCCGGGAAGCGCGCCACCAGGACGGGGCACGGGACGGGGACAGGAGGGAGTTCCATATCTCAGGGCTGAGCCAGCAGCCCCCTGCACGGCACGAATGTGCAGGGCCTCAGCCTCGCGCGGGACCTGGACAGGGCCTGTGCCTTTAACTGGCAGCCTCTCGCCCCGTCCCSGACCGCAGGGGCAGCCCGAGCTGTTGACAACAACCTCCGGTTCTCTGCGGCGCGGGCCGGCGGTGCAGGACACGCTGCCGTGCGCCCCGGCGTGCCCCGGCRCGGCCCTGCATGTGCCTGCACGCAGCCGCCGCGCCGCCCGGGCAGGGACGCTGCCCGCGGCTGGGGCCCTGCAGCCCGCGCCAGGGCAGGGAGCCAGCGCGGGGCCACGTCCCACACCAGAGCCCTGGCCCTGCTCCGCACAGGGACGCGGGAACTGCGGCTGCGGGATTCCCGTGGGCTCAGCGACGTGGGCGGCGTGCTTGCACCTGCCCCCGCAGCCCGGCGCGCTGCCCGGCGCCTGCTGATTCACGCAGGTGCTCCCGGACTCCGTGCTCTGCGCGGCGGCCCCGGGACTTGCACACGTCCCGCCGGAGAGGAGCGGGAGTTCCTGCTGGCACCACGCAGGGAGCAGGCGGCCCCGCACAGGGCAGGGAGCACGGGCAACCCCCCAGGCCCCAGGCAGCCCCCAGGCCCCAGGCAGTGCCTGTGGGGTGAGCAGCTCACGCTGCCCCACATCTGGCACCAGCGCACACACACACCAGCAACCCAGACAGGCACAGACGGTGTAGGCGCTCCACTACCCTCAGACGAGCGCCCTGCATACACACACACCCCCTACACACGTAAACACAGGCACTGTGCCTGACTGTGCGCACACACCCCGTACTGCAAACACCCGCACCTGGGAACACCCGGCCACCCCGCTGCACGCAGCGCCGGCTCCAGCTGCAAACGCAGCCCTGGCTGCTCCTCTGCCCACATGCACCAATGTACGTGCACACACACACACACATCCATGCACACATACACGGTGCTCACAGACACTCTGCCACCGCTCGACACCCCAACACACCCTTGCACCCCCTGCCTGCACGAAATCCCCCCCGTGCAGAGCCCCCTACACACATGCCGTGCACAGCCCCCCCCGCACAGACCCGTGCACACACGCGCACACACAAACACATCCACACACRCGCACACTTGCACACACGCTCACTCTGCAGAGCCTCGTGCACAGTCCCCGCGCCCCCCGCCTTGCACGGGCCCCGTGCACGTTTGCTCGCCCGCACACTCGCATTCTCGCACACGCTCGCGCCCTGCAGAGCCCCGCGCACACGCGCGCCCCGCCTTGCACGGCCCTGCTCGCGCTCCCGTCCCCCGGCCCCGCCGCCCGCTCTTACCGGCTCGGCGGCGG